TGAATTTCATGTGCTACTAACATGTTTGTTATTCTTTGTTGAAATTCAATTTTGTTTAAGTGTCAAGATCCTAAAAGCATAATTTTATTTGGAATGCATTTATTGGGGGGGGAGCTTTGATTTTTCAAATGATTTTTAAAATGTCAAATTCACTAATTACTCTCCAAAGTTATTTTGAACTTCAAATATTGAATTATTTTTTATTTAACAAAAAGGGGAAGGAGTGTTAGAGTAAGGGGGAGTAATTTTTCAAACTTGATTTCAAAAATGATTTTCAATTAGAAAATCTTAAAATTACTAAAATGTTTTGTTATATCAAAAAGGGGGAGATTGTTGAAAACATTTGATGTTTCGATATAAAAAATTAAGTGCTAATGAATTTTAAGATTTTATATTGAATTTTAAATTATATATTCGATTAAATTATTCGAATATCAAAATATTACTCCAATTTTTTCAAATGTCAATTTCAATCCTTACTCAAGTGTAAGATTATGTTTTAATCTTAAAATATATTTTTAAACAAATTTTACAAAGTATTTCGAGCCTTAATCGAGCCAAAAATATTTTCTTTTTAAAGGGCTTCAAGGAAAACCAGATTGCCCAGAGGGAACAGATTCCCCCCAGGGGGTACCGATTCCCTAGGAACAGATTCACCCCCAGGTTTTTGGCTCCGAGAGAAAACAGAATGTCCATAGGGTACCGATTCCCCCTGTGTATCGGTCAAAATATTTGAATTTTACACTGCAGGAACCGATTCCCTATGACGGGGTACCGATTCCCCCACGCTCCAAGTTGTTTTATTAATTGATTCTCTTCCCCAAATGGCTCCAAAACATCCCCAATGGCTATATATGATTTCAAACACATTCCAAGCTATAAATACAAGCTGAGGACACTTGAAGAAGTAAGAGAACAACTATCCAAACAATCAAACACAAGAGAAGAGTTTTTCATTCTTATTTCATCTTTCTCTTGTAAATATTTTGTTCTTGTGAGCTTAATTCTTGTAAACACCTACCTTAGAGAGGTTTTCCTGTTTACATTTCTTATCCTTTTATAAAGGGGAAAGTTCTAGTTCAGCCCAGAAAAACTAGGGAGTTGTAAGGTTATCTCTTTGTCCTCAAAAGAAAGAACAAATTAGTGAATTTGTTGGAAAATCCTTGGTGAGGAGCTAAGGTAGTGGACGTAGACTTTGTTTGAGAAAGTCAAACCACTATAAATCGATATGTAATTCTCTATCTTTCAATCTTCTTACTCCCTAAACATAAAATCGTTCTGACTCCTCTTTGCAAACCATTCCGGTTGTCGATTCGAGCTTCCAAAAATCCCAACATAAATATTTAAAAATTCAGGTCAAAATTTTAAAATTTGTAAAATCAAAACAATTGAAAAGTTGATATCAATTTTTTAGAGATATATCATTTGCATTAAAAATCAATTTTGACCAAAATTCATTAAGATGAACTAAAAGTTATGAAAAATCATTAAAACTTTAAAATGTTCATCATAAGCACTTTTCAACATACATGAGATTAAAAACAATGCATAATCATTTAAAATCAAAACTCATGCATGCATAAACTAAATGAGCAACCAAATAACCAAAATAAAAGCATTAAGCTTAGAGGTTACCCATTCCTTTTTCAAATGTGGCTAGAGCATTTGAATATCATCATTTTCATCACCATTGCTCTCACACACTTACAATAGATATTTATTTAGATTTTGGTATACAAATTGCTTTAGATAATTGGACGTTAGTTTTAATGCCCCTTGTTCCCTTGGGAACTCATACTTGTCTAATTTTAAAACGTTTTCCTTTCTTTAAAGGACAAGTATATTCCTTGTGACCATGAAAATGACAATGTGAGCATTTTGTCATTTTTAAACATAATGAGTTGCTTTTAGAAATTAATTCTTTCTCTTTTGTTAAGCTATCAATCTTAACTATCAAATCAAAATTTTATTTTTCTAAATCATTGATTTTGACTTTTGAAAGCTTTAAATCATTTTTTCAAAATTTCATTTTGTTTTTCAAAATCAACTTTTGTTTTCAAAACCAAATCATTTTCAGCTTTAAGTTTTGAAATTAATTTCTTATATTTGGAATTCATGGTCTCAAATTCCAAATACAACTCACTATAAGCATCTTGTAACTCATCAAAAGAATGTGAATTTAATTCATTTGAGTTCTAAGATACCATTGAATCTTCTTTGATGGCCATGAGGCATAGATTGGCTACTTCATCTTCGTCATTGGAGTCATCTTCATTACTCCAAGCTGCCACAAATGTCTTTTTCTTGGATGATCCCTTCTTCTTTAGGAACGAACATTCATACTTGACATGCCCCGTTCTTTGACAATTGAAGCGCACTGGGGGACTCTTCTTCTTGCTCGATTCATGTTTCACTTCCTTGGAAGTCATGAATCTCTTGAACTTTTTGAAGAGCTTGGCCATCTATTATTCTTTATCCTCGTTTTCATCTACCTCTTCATTTGAATATTGATAGCTCTCATTGGTGGACTTTAAGGCAATGCTTACCTCCTTCTTCTTTTCTTCTTTCTTCTTGTCCTTCTTTTATTCATCATCTTCCTCTTCCTTCACCATCAACTCATGAGTGAGAAGATAACCAATAAGCTCGTCGAGAGTGAGAGACTTTAGGTTTTTAGCTTTGATAATCGTCGTCTTTTTTATTGTCAAGACTTTATAAGAGAGTAGATCATCTTCCTCAAAAGCTTCTCATTAGGGATTACTTCTCCAAATCCCTTGAGACCGTTGATAATCACGGAAAATTTATCCGTCATAGCTTTGATGTCTTCAACGGGTTTCATCTTGAAATTCTCGTAGCTATGGTTAAGAAGACTTATATTGGTTTCCCTCACTTCATCAGTTCCTTCATGAGTGACTTAGAGCTTATCTCATATCTCATTGACATTGGAACAAAATGAGACTCTTCCATATTCATCCGGGTCTAATGCACAAAAGAGAATGTGCATAGCCTTAGCATTGAGCTAGAACTTCTTCTTTTCTCCATCACTCCAATCATCCATCTCACCATGTGGAGTGGAATAACCCTTCATGATTGAATTCCAAGCTCCTAGATCGTTGGCTTGAATGAAAAGCATCATTCTATTCTTCCAATAGGCATAATTTGCTCCATTGAAGTAGGGTGACTTGTTGACCGGTTGAGAATCTTCCATGTAATAAGAACTATAAGTTGAAGCCATCTCTTTGTCGGTTGCGTCGGGAATTGGTAGAGTTTCTTTAAGGATCGTCTCAAGGATGTGAAGCTTCTAACGAGTCAAGCTCTGATACCAATTGTTAGGATTTACAGAAGCTCGAATTGACAATCGAAAAAGTTGCAAGAGGATGAATTGGCAATAATTTGGGAGTAAGGAGAGATAAAAGATAGAAAGATTTGCACAATGATTTATAGTGGTTCGTCTTCTCAATTAAGTCTACCTCCACTATCTTAATTACTCACTAAGGATTTTCTAACAAATTCACTAATTTATTCTTTCTTTTTAAAGGATCAAGGGATAACCTTTACACTATTTATATTTTCACTTGGCTAAGATAGAATCAATCTCCTTTTACAAAAGGTAAAAAGAAGTAAACAATAAAACCTCTCAAAGGTAGGGTGTTTACAAATTTAGCTCATTAAAACACTAATATTTACAAGAGAGATAAAATAAGATTGAAAAACTCTTTTCTTGTGTTTGAATGCTTGGATATATGTTTTAACCCTTCTTCAAGTGTCTGGAACTTGTATTTATATGTTGGAATGAAGTTGTGGTCGTTTCTAACCGTTGGGAGTCTTTTAGAGCCGTTGGGGATGTTTTTCTCTACAAAATAAAACTGCCCAGTACAAAGGGTATCAATACTTCTATAGGGAGCATCGGTACTACCTTTGTTATTTTTAAATCAACTAGCCGTTACTAGTCGTTAGGGCCTGATGGTATCGATACTATGCCTATGATATCGGTACTACTATACAAAGTAGTATCGGCACCCCTTTGGGTATTGATATCATTTTTGCATTCTGGAATTTGAGCATTGTTGGTAGTATCAATACTACCTAGTAAGTATCAATACTTCCCTTACCTTTGGTATTGGTACCATATGAACAATATCAGTACTGTTCATGAGGTATCGATACTATAAGAACAATATCGAAACTGCTTGTCCAGAAAATTATTTTGTGCTCAATTCCAAGTTAAATGGACTTTGAATTATTTTTGAAAACTTTGAATAAATTCAATCAAGTCCAAAAACATTTTACCTTAATTATTATATCAAAATTTAGTTCAACAATAATATTTTATAATATTCTATTTTAATTTATTTGTTCATCAAATAGAACACACCATAAATTTTTAAATCAGATCAAAAGGTTAGTTATGAATTTCGAATACAAATTATTAAATAGACATAAATGATATAAAAAATATGTATATATTAAGATTTTGGAGGAAATATCAAAATATTGCAACCTAATTGAAGAAGGGAAATAGCATTGTTTTACTCGTGTGTTAAAGTGTACGATGAGACATTAAATTTTATAAGATTTAAATTTGAATCTTGATGCAGTGTATGAAAAAAGTTAAATTACAAGGATTGTCTGTCCGTAATAAAATTTTATCGTACATGGTATAAATTAGTTAATAAATAGATTAAAATTAGTGGTTATGAAAAAACTCAGATCTATATGCACCGTGACACCACCATCCCGTGTCTGGCTACATGTAGTAAACCCCGTTTAAATAAAATTTCAGGCATAGTTAAAAGATAAATACTCTTTACATGATTCCTTGGAACAAGGTTTTCTTGGTCGGAAGAATATAATTATAATATCAGTCTTCTAGTAAAAATCTCTAGTCCAGTCTATAAATTACTTTTCAACTATCACGGATAATTAATTGAAAAGAAACTAAGTTAGAAGATAAATAATAAGTGTGTGAGTGATAATTTGGGGTTCATCGAATGGAATTATTTTCTTTGTCAACAATGGCCGACGGTAGGCTTAAAATCTTGACACATGGCTGCAGTTCATATAAGAAACCAACCGCTTTCCTTTGGAATGCAGGGTACAGATGGTCAAGGTCTGGTATGGCGTTGAGCTTGGTGGGGTTCCTTCTTCTTCTCCAACTCTGCTTTGTTGCTAGTGGCACAAATGCAGTGAGTGGAGATAGCCAATTGCGTGTGAGTCTATCCCAGGTGGAGGAGGAGAATTCGCAGGTTCACTTTCATAGGACGAAACGATTCCTCCAAGCTGCTAAACGGAGACAGAGGCAACCAGGCCCAGCCACTCTGGTGGATGAGTTCCTCGATGAGAATTCCCCGCTTCGCCGTGTATTTTTTCCAGAGGCGGCAACTGCCATAAATCCGGTGAACGGCGACAACTACTACCGTCCAGGGAATATTTGGTTGGATACTGATGTAAATCCTATTCAAGCTCATGGGGGTGGTGTGCTATACGATGAAATCTCCAGTACATACTATTGGTACGGAGAGTACAGAGATGTTCCCCAGGGTTCAACGACGGGACGTGTAAGTTATTATTTTGAATGCGTGAATAATCCATGTTTTATTATTCTAACAAGTTTCTCTTGTGATCAGATTGACGTTATTGGAGTGGGTTGCTATTCTTCCAAGGATTTGTGGACATGGAAAAACGAGGGTATTGTGTTGCCTGCGGACATGGAAAATAAAACCCATGATCTCCACATATCCAATGTGTTGGAGCGGCCAAGAGTTATTTACAATGAGATAACAGGCAAGTATGTAATGTGGATGCATATTGACACTGGCAACTACTCCAAAGCTTCCGTCGGGATTGCTATTGGTGACTCCCCGACGGGTCCTTTTCAGTATCTCCGTAGCCTAAGGCCCCATGGACGTGACAGCCGGGATATGACCGTGTTCAAGGATGACGATGGTGTAGCATATCTGATTTATTCGTCCCAGAGTAATAGTGAGCTTCACATCGGACCACTAACTGATGATTATCTAGATGTGCAGCCTGATATGCAGAGGATTCTGGTTGGACTACGCCGGGAAGCCCCTACTGTTTTTAAGTACCAGGGGATTTATTACATGATCACTTCGGCTTGCACCGGATGGGCACCAAATGAAGCATTGGCACATGCGGCTGAGTCGATGATGGGGCCATGGGAGACAATCGGAGACCCGTGCATTGGAGGGACGAACACGTTTCGACTTGCAGCGTTTTTGTCACAGAGTACATTTGTGATTCCTTTGCCAGGCAGTCCGGGTTCATACGTTTTTATGGCGGATCGGTGGAATCCGGCTCAATTAAACGACTCGAGGTACGTATGGTTGCCGCTAACAGTCGGTGACCCAGCCGGTCCTTTTGAGTTCGATTTTGGATTTCCATCATGGCCAAGGGTGTCCATATATTGGCATCAGAAGTGGAGACTTCCCTTGGGTCGGAGGTGATAGAAAAGATCGGCTGGTCATTTTTTTAAACAAATTACGGGAAATTGATGTTGAAACTTAAGATAACAAAGGGTGAAAAGGTTTAGGACCATAATTTACAAAGGCATATTGACAACTGCAGAGGAAATGTTAGGTGCCAGAGAACATTTCAATGTCTAAGTGAAGCCTTTTTCTTTTTCAACAAGATATAAATTTATACCACAAAGTTTTACGATTTTAACGGTACCTGGGGCTGGAGATAAGAAAAACATCATGTTAAGTTCATTTATTCAAGCATTTCTCTTTTCTTTGATTAATATATTAAGCCAGGTTAATCAAAACAGTCGACGAGTTTAATAGGATTTTCATACATATAACATGAAATCTAACCTAATAAAAATAATTTTGATTATTTCTTAACTTCAATATTTACATATTTATCGACTTTCAACATGAAGAAATATAACTAAACTTCTCATAAACACTTCCACTGCTTGGTGCCATTACACATGTTTTACAACCATCAAAATTAAAATATAAATTTAATTATTATAAAAACAAACAAGATTAAAGGGTAGTGATTTATTAAGAATTTAAAATGAATATGCTAAAACATAAAAAACCTTTGTGCTCGAGTGAGTCGAACCCCGATCAAAGCGGGCTTCATGGGCTGTTTTTTTAGTCCAACAATAAACACCACTCATTTTTTTAGATTTTTTAACCGTTAAATGAAACATATAATATTAGGATATGTTTATTTACATATAATTAGTTTTTTTATTATTTCTTAGTATTTGGTTAATGGAAACAGCTAGTCAACATAATTTCTCTCGTATTTTTTTTAAAAATAATTTATGGCCTGGTTTTCCATAAATCAATTTACGAACTTTTCACTCCAAAACATAAATGCTAAAAACATTATCATTTTATATATTTAATATTAATATATTATTTTATTATCATTTTAATAAAAATATTATTTATTAAATTATATTAAATTATAATTTTAATACTATTATATTATATTGTTTTATTATAATTATTATAATGTATAATATTATACTTTTTATTGTAATAGTATATAATAAATTATTAATAAAATTAATATTATTTATTAACTTCATAAAAATATTATTATTAAATTAAAATATATTGCTTAAAACATAACATAATATTCTCATTTAAATATTATATTTTTTAATATTTTAATAATATGATTATTTTATTAAGTAGTTACTATAATTAATAATATATTATTTTTATTTTAATAAATAATTAATATAATTTAATAAAATATAATAATATTAATGTTTTTATTTATAAAAATTATAGATATAATATTGTAATAAATATTAAATAAAATATTCTAATATTTTAAAAATAATATTATTATTTTGTTAGTGAATAATATTATTTATTGTATTTGATGTTTATAATAAATCATTTTTTAAAAATTGATCAACCAACAGAACATGAATTACACTATATCATCCAAACACCGTACAATGATTTCTAACATGAAATGTAATTTATTTTTTACGAAATTAATTTTTTAGAATCTATTTTCAAATAGACCCTTGATAAAATTTTAAATGTTATTTTGATAAAAAAATTAATAAAAATTAGTTTCATAAATAATTCATCAAAAAATCATAGAATGTATGGTTATTGTGGACTTTAAAAGTAAAGAAGAGGAGAAGATATTCAGAAAAGTGGTAAGAAAATTTATTTGCCTTCTTGTTTTGGTTTTGTGTGTGGGCCAAAAAGCCGACGTTACCATGAATGCATTTTTATAGGTTATGTAGAAAAACCAAACAGAGCTTTCCCTTTCTGAGGATTAAAAGTGAAAAGCAGAAATATAATTGATTTGCTTTAAAATATTCTAAATTTAGTTCCATTAATCCATTTTTTTTATATATAAAATACCCATAGTTGGAATCCAAGTCTCCTACCCAATGGCCGTCCTAAGACCAAAATTATTAGTTTAATTTCCCTAAGCTGATATCAACCCTTTAACACCAAATACCAACCCCATGACCTATTTGCTAACTAAAAAGATTACTTAGCAATGCTGATTACTTATTGTGTACAACACCAACCTTATGTTTAGACTAAAAAAATGGTTTTCTTTAATAATTTCTTGATTAGTCTTAATAGCAATTTCAGCAAGCCAAATTCGGTTAGGGGTGTTAATTAAGTTCTAGTTACGTTTATATAATATTTTTATGAAATAAATCTATCATTTCTATATATTAAGTATTTAATTATATTCAATATTGATTAATCTAAATTTAATTCACCATCTAGTCTTGATTGTTAGATAGGAAAATAGATAAGAAAATTCATTATCAGTTTACATGCGCATGCAATAGTATTTATGTATTTGAGCAATTAAATGAAGAAAATTAAACATCTCGACTTGATGATTTTCAAAACCCACTGCCCCTAATTTTACATATAATAAAAATGGGAAAAACCATGAGAAATTATTATTAGTGAAAATCAATTTAATTACTCCCAACCCTATTGAAAATCAAAAGCAAATTCTTAGGAACTCCCCCACCCTTCTATCTCTTTTTTTTTCCTCATCCAGAAAACACAAATTAAATATATAGCCCATACACCATATAGAAATACGCCGATACACATTACACGTACGAGAAAAACACAACACACGTGTGAACCACTCCCTCCCCACCGCAATCCCATGTACGAAAAAGGAAACGCCAACGGCCGTCGTCAAGGCCGCCACACACTGGCCCAGACCATCACCTGATCCTTCCAAGACAAGAATATTCCGGCGTCGGGGCACTGTGTCATTGACCAACCTTCCTTGTACCTTCTCAACAAGGCGCGTACATCGTCGCACACTTCATCACTCAAAGCCACAGGGCTGAACCCAGTTGCATGGAATCGTCTGGACCAGCGCGTGGCCGGTTCACGTCTCTCGATGGACTGGGACGGCGGACAAGCCACCAAGTCAACGATGGCTCGACCGGCCGCTCGTTCGAGCATCAACTTTTCATTGCTTGTTCTATTGAAACTCTCGTCCAAGGCTTCCAAGTAAACTCTAAACCATCTCAAACACTCTTGGAAGCCCTTAACAAAATCAAGCCCATCAACCCCAACATCAAGATCAGCTTCTTCTTCAACGACTGTGATTATCCTCGGCCGCAATCGCCTGAAATTTGATATCACGATATCTCTACGATTATCAACGGCTGTGATCGAATGTAGTGTGCCAACACAGTTGATAGCTAAGGCTTCATCTTCTTTGATATCAAGCTCTGATAAATCCAAGTAACATAAATCACCAGCATGGTGTATGACATTGAATTTAAAAGGAACTCCCATAAGCCTAGCGAACTTTTCCATTCTTTTCCCTATTTCTTTCATTACCTTTTGGACAGCGGCCAAGCCCTGTGATGATGAGCCTGAAACCCCACCGTTTTTTCTAGTGACGATCGTGGTTAGCCTTAGATTTGGGGTTTCGTCACTACGGGTTGCTAGGGCTTCAAGCAAAGTAGGCCATTGTGTGCAATAAGTGTTGCTAATATCAATTATGTGTAGTTTGCTTTCACCTTCGAAAGCTTCCATGATTGCACCATTACAAGCAACGTGACCAAAAGTAGTCCAAGGGCTTACCTCTTGGAACTTCAATACCATCTTCCTCGTCGACTCGAAAGAAGATGTTTTCTCAGATACCGAGGCTAACGTCCGATAGCAACGCTCGCCGGAGTCAGTCATGCGGCTAAATAAAGCTTGAAGAAAATAAGAAGCCAGTTTTTGATCGGTGTCACCGTAAGGTGATCCAAGCTCGTTAAGCATCCACATCAGCTGTTGAACCCGTCCGCTGTTCCGATCGGCGATAGCAGTCGCCGTTTCCAGGAGGATATCCGAAGCCCACTTTCCGGAGAAATCGAAGTTGTTGAGGTCACGAGCGGGGGAAAAAGTAGTGGTGGAGTAATCAGACGACTCAAAAGCATGGTGAGTGGTAGTGGAGGTGTTTGTAGGAGTAGCGGTGGTGGGGGTGGGGGTGGAAAGGTGGGGCTGGTGTTGTTGTTGAGGGTAATGATAATAAGGGGAAGGAGACGAAGAGAAGTCTTCTTCATCCATGAAAACGTTGAAGCATTCTTCGTCTTCTTGTTGGTAGTGATTGTTTTGTCTGGACGATCTAGAGCTGTTGGATGTTCTGCTAGAGTTGAAAGATTGATCCGATGATTGAAGACTCACAAGTCTAAACAAGGTATCCATCTAAATCCAACACCAAACAGACCCACATCAATGAACTTCGGATTCAGGTTGTCGGGAAAGAGAAAGCGTGTTTGAAGAGATGGAATGACCAGTGAGTTGCTTATGATTTTTACAACAGTATATACTACAACATCAACATGGGATATAGTCTATGAAGGAGGATACCAAAAATTATGATTTATGTAATTGGGTTTTGGCAAAACACAATCACTTATTAAGTAAAAAAGAAAAAGTAAAGGGGCTGGGAAACTATGTCGTGACAGTAAAAAATATGCTTTTCTTTTTGTGTAATCGATGAGAAAAATGGAGGTGGCCGGTTAGTGGCCGAGGGTTCTTTTCTAGCATAGCTTATTCTTTTAGGGTTAACTTTCTAATTTCATTTTCCTTTTATTTCTTGACTAATATGGGGCCTTTCTATTAACAATCAGCTAAGATGGTGTTTTAGGGGATAGTATAATTTATCTGAAAAGAGAAAAAGAAAATAGAGGTCCATATCATAAAATGGGTTAGTTGAATAGCTGTATAATCAAACATATATATACAAGGTACTATATAGCTATCATGATGTATTGTGTATATTTTATTGAGGAAGAAAGAGAATGAAAAATGGTATAGATTTTAGTGAGAGTAGGCGTGCGAAATGGAGAGAAAAAAGAAGTAAAAGCTGCCGGCGTGTATGGGCAGCATCAAACCCATATTCACCAACCCAATACCTTCACATTCTTTGCATCCTAATCCCTCAACCCTGCCAAAATTCCTACTTTTTCCGTTTCCTA